TATGCTAAAATTGAGATAGATGGTATGAGTATCCCATTAATCGAAGAAGATAGCAGACCTACAGGCGACTCTTCGAGTCATAAAGCTAGCTCCACTAAAAATAACTTATCTATTACAAAGCAATGGGACTTTGTCCCTAAATCAACGGAATCTAAACCCGGTCTAGATCAAGAGGAGGTTATGAATATAATTAACAAAGTTCTCTCAAATATCGAAGATAGACTCGAACGGTCATTGCTTTGTAATAATAAGCAACGAAAGAAATGTCATGGAATATTTCACAACAATTCTGAGACAGAGACTAATTCATACCAGCTCTGATTCAGAATTCACAAATTCAGACTGGTATGATCTCGATCCGATAAAACCCCGAAAGAATCATTTTCATATTAAAAAGAAAAAGGTTGTTTCTCCTATCCGAAAACATCGTAAAAATAAGTAGAGTAGTGATCCATCCAATCAGAAAAAAGTTCATGATCTCATATTTATCCTAAGTTAACTTACATTCTTATTGCTCTATGCTTTCACCGTTACTATTTGAATTGAATTTTGATATTTATTTGTATAGCAATAAAGACGATAAGTTTTTTTGCCACAATATTCACCACTATCCCATTCACCCTCTATATAATTTCTAATATTTTCTTTTTTATGGTTTTTTATTACATAAAGGGCAGAGTACTAATCTATTAAAATCAAAATAATTACTATATTTAAAACTATGTCTCAAAGTTAAATAAGGAAATCACTCTAATACCATTCCAATAACATGTTGTTGCATTTCTTCCGGATCTTTAGATAGAACAGAAATTGGGAATTGTCGTTTAGATAGCGTAGATTGAACATTTACTTGCGGTACAAATAAAGCTTTCTCCTCAGTATCCTTTTCGCTATGTAAGGATTCAGAAGTTTCAGAGTTTATCCAGGGATCGAGCCCAGTCTCTTCCGTATATGCTCTATATAAGATCAAACGAATTTTATCAGTCAAAGAACTTGGTACTTCAACCAATTTAGCATACCAGTCCAAATATTCAGGAGTTAAGACACAAAGTGTCATTTCTCTGAAATAAGCTTTATCCATGTTATTGTTTTATACGATCGCAAATTCAAATTAAGTTTGGGGTCTCACTTATAACAAGGATACTTATGGCTGGTACATATCTCAAAATAGTAATTAGTGGAGCAAGTACCAAAGGTGCTAAAAAAATAAACATAATTTATGACATTTGAAACCAGAAAATTTGCCAAAGGCAGTTAGATAGTGGATGACTTTACGATTTATGCGGTTATTTCGATTTCACGCTTTCTACAAATAATAAAATAGGATCCAGCTTCGTATCTACCTTTTACACTTTTCCCATCCTCATGACTTTGCTTACACATTGAGCATAATGAACCCTCAATAATTCCATAACGATCAAATTTTTCAGAAATAAATACTTTATATAGATCAGAATATCGCAACAATGTCTTATTACGAAAGTAAGCATGATCATGAATCTTATTTTCTGGCAATATATTATCTTTCGGAGAAAGTGATCTTTATGCATTAGATGAAGCATTCACATCTGCATTAATCTGATCGTCACAATTCGTGACAGTTTCTGGCACTTCTACTGAAGTTACATTATTGATAACATTTTGAATTTGACTATTAGTAAGACTTGAAATGGCATATATGCCATAGGTAACTTGCTTAATTTTATTTATTCCAACACCATCTTTCCCAAATAACATATGAATTTTTTTGGCTCTTAGAGTTTTCATACGCAAGTTTCCTGATGTAATGCCAGATAAATGGTTTAACATTTCCTTATATAATTGTGTTCTAGCAGTTTTATCCGTAACTCCTGTCTCACGACAAATTTCAATAACTTTATTTTCAAAACTATCAGAATAATAGTACCAAGATAAAATTTCTTCATGTCTAGCTCGTATTGCATTTTGGAATAAACAGATCAAGCTTTGTGATGTAATTTGAGATGATTGATGCTCTGTAATCTCAAAGGAAGCCGGTGAGATGATATCTCTATCACTTCGCAATTGTTTTATTAATTCTCGCTCTATACACTGACTTTTAGTGGGCTCAATTTCATCAGGCTCCTCAGACATATAAATGTTATGATTTGGACACTTGCCCTTTGGTCTTTCCTGTGATAAATGTTCTTTGGTTTCTATATTAGGATTCGATAAGTTTTTTTGCTGATCGTCATGTTTCGTGACAGAAATTTCTTGGCATTTTTCTTTTCCCCTTACATGATTTTGCTCGGGATATCTGAAACTAAATTCTGGGATCGGTCTTCAGCTGATCCACATTGAAGCTTCTTTTCCCTATTGCGTTGCTTTATCTCGCTACTAACTCTTTCCTTACTTTTCAAATCCAGAAATTCATCGATCTCTTTATTTTCCGATGAATTAGGCTTGGACGAGTATGTATGAATATTGGAAGAAATATCAGATGATGCTTCATGGAGAATAGAATCTTCTAATACGTGTATACTATCACTTTGTGTCTGCTTCTGTTCCAATTTCGTGACTCTGTCTTCAAGCTCTATATTCTCAGCAATAAGGATGGCGGTATCCGTTTTATTTTTTTTCTCTAGCTCTTCCAACCTGGTTTGAGATCAGTATTCTCTTCTATGACCTGTCTTAGCTTCATGTTCTCAGCCTCGACCTCAGTATATTTTTTTCTAAGTTCAGTAATCTCGGATACAAGCTTGGAATTCCGTTCTTCCAATAAATCAATTTTAGACTGTGTATTTGCCATTGTTTTATACAAGATACGGATATGTTCAAAAGTTTAGATTAATAAAAATCAAGATTTTCTTCACGATCGGAATTCGGAATAATTATTGAACCGTGATGTAGCCCGTGATCGTACTGTGATTCATATATAGGGAAATCACTATTTTTATCAACCCGCGATTCGCAACCACAATGAGCGATTTTGATCATATCAAGGCTCCGCTGATATACAGGTTTATCACTCTTCTTTACACATCTAACAATGTATTGTCCATTATTATTAGTTTCAGTCTCATCCTCGGAATTTCTTTATGACAAGGACTTTAGAGTAGATAATTAATTATTCGGTCAGATATACAATATAAATTATTCATCACACTACTTGATTAGTGTGAGATCTCAGCTGATTGATTATTAAATCATTTAACCTCAAAGAAAAGGTTTTTAAGCAATGAGTAACTCTACTTTCACCTTACACCCATCGAAGACGGCTATGGATACCAGAAATGGTAACTTTCGCTGTCTTGTTACAACAAAGGAAGTTCCTTAAACATTCTTCACCTTAGATCTCGAAATGCATCAAACCAATGGCGAAGAGGAGCGAGAAAGTGGCACGTCTACCATACAAGTACGAAAGGTTTGGCTTTCTTTACATAGGTCATCGAGAGATTGAAATTAATCATGACATGATGTTATAATCTGGCCTGCACTATGATTTATTATGACTGATTCAATGATGTTAATTGGCTGACTTCAAAGATTGCAGTGAACGATGCCTTATCCGCGTCTGAAAACAGTTATGGACACTAGAAGCGGTAACTTAGCTTTTTTGTCTAAAACAAAGGAAAAGAAGTTTCTGAAATATGTTCTTTACCTTAGATCTGAAAGCGTATCGAAATATTCGCAAAGGCAAACAAGCAGGCACAAGCTCTTTACACAACTTTCCTTCTACTATACAAGTATGTCTCAAAGGTTTCTTTCTTTTACATAGGTCACATATAGATGTTTACCATTTGAGATTCACCATTAG